ATATTAGTTCACTTTAATGATGCATTTTGAAATCAAATATTTACATAATAAAAATAAATTACGAACAAAACAAAAATTAATCAAGTCATAGAGAACAAATTGCAAAATAATTTATTTGCTAAATTTTCAATACAAATTATATTAGTTAATAGATAAGAGAAGAGAAAAATGTTGATGTATGTATATAGTCAATAGTCAATAGAAATCTATAACGGTGGGTAAATACAGTGGAATTGGTATATACTGGACTTGTCAGTATATTAAAAAAAAGTTTTGAGTTGTTTTAGCTTTTATTCAAAATAAGAATACTTTGCTGCTACCTCATAAGCCTCCCTAACTGCTTTGACGATTTTCAAAACCTAGCTGAAAAGGTGTAGGAGACGGAAGTCACAACCTCTTATCATGGCCGCCATAGCGCCTCAGTATATCAGATAATATTATTTTCGCCTTTTCCATAAAATGACGAAATGGAAAATTACACCAAGATACTTCATTCTAGCAGGAACAACGATTATCTGGCACACGTGTTCAAATAGAGTACCCATTTCGTAAATTAGTCGAGGCCTGGTTGCTGGATCAACTAAAAATCCCATGTCAATATACCATTCTGGCAGACTGTATCAAAGGTTTTGGCGAAGTCTAAACAAAAATTCGACTTTACGAACTTTAGCAATTTATGAAAAATTGAGCGCAGCTCTATCCTTTAGAAAAATAAAGTGACATCCTAGGAGAATCTGATTATTCAAACTGAGGTTGTATTCCTGGACTGGGAGAACCTTCGATTACCCGTGAAGGTGATGTTCTGAGATAATTTGTAAGCAGCCTGACTTTGCTAGTGATAACTTCAGGTTTCGTGATAACCATTCACAGTCGAGATAATCATTCACAAGAACACACAGTTCATTAACGTTGTGGCCCATTGTCGTCATGATAGTACAGTCGTCCGATATAATATCGACGCCTTGAAGAGGTGCGGGGAGAAACGTCCTTTCAGAGTGCCTATGCTGCTTTAATCCTTGTGAGATCTGATTGGTAATGGACGTTAATGCTGTTAGGCAAGTTGCTGCTAGGACAGCACATCTAGGAGGGCTAGAGTTTCAAGAGCTTTCAGGCGACAATTGATGGAAGAGATATAGTCCTGTATGATTGTTCCTCTGGCACGTCTTTCTCAGGTTTTAGTACTTGAATGACTCTACCCTTTTTCCAAGTGTAAGTGAATATGTTGAAAACAATCGTTAGGTACTCAACTTCCCGCTCGCAAAGTTTTTTTTTAAGATCAGCATGGCTATTTCTTTGGGGTCAATCGCCTTAGATGCAATTTCAGCTGGTGTATAAGGTAGGCAGGTTGTGAAGAGTCGAAAATGGGAATGTCTGGAAAGCTAATAGATATCTTCTTATCCATCTTTGTCGGATTGGAGAGAGAATTGTGGAACACAACTTACTAAAACGACCAAAGCTCGAGTTGTAGTTCTTCAATTGATCTAGGCATCTCTTCGCTTGTCCTCATTTACTAACCTGCTGATTTCGGACTCTGGATAGCTTGAGTTGATATTTCAGATGTCATTGCGTTCACCTGCAAGTCTAGCTACTTCTGATCAGGTTCTGAGATGACTATTTCACAGAACATTCTCTCTTATTACATATTTCACAAAAGTTCGATTATTCGATAATTTCACTACAAATTAATTATTTTAAACAAAATTTTGATTGATCGAATGTGCACTGTATGTTGTTCTTATTTCTAGTATACTCTATGATTTATAGTACCAGGACTAGCTGTCAATTTGTTCTCAAAAACCTTTCCATTTTGACTTATTCATAACATTTATTTGAATTAGTACATTTTCAAGCTCAAGTTGAATAAACTGCCATAATATTGAATTATTTATTTACCTCAATTACGGATCGTTCGTTTCTTTATTTATTTATTTTTTTTTATTAAATTTAAATAAAAATCATTGACTTTGTATTACATTTGCATTGAAATTTATATGTGAAAAGCATTTATAATTAGTTAATTATTGCAAGTAAGTTTTGCAATCATATCCAACAAAGATTTTAATTGAGTTTTCAAAGAATAAAAAAAAAATATTCTAATTAAATGGAAATTAGATGTCAATAAGTGTTGCAAATTGTGTGTCTATTGAAAATGTTAAATGAAAAATATATAACAATTAAATTAAGACCAATAAATGTCATTAGTTGCAAAAAGTTATATTGATTTTATTAATGCTTAATAAATGATAAATTAACTCAGTAACTTAAAAATAAAAATATTGCAAATTTATAAACTGACAAAACGTCTGCTAAAATCCTTTTTAATATTTTTTTCAATTCTATTATCTTTCACTTTCGTTTTGCCTAACAGACAATTAGTTACAGTAACCCACTGACATATATTTTATATATCTCTCTCTGCCTATCTTTACTCATTTGTTTATTTACATACATATACATATGTGTCATTTTAACATTTAAAAAGCATTGTACTTTGCTAGAATTTTAAATAAGAAAACAATATTTATTTTTATTATTTATAATAAAATAAAAAAAAAATACAAAAAAAATATAACATCCAGAATATATTACACACACTTCAGTTTAAAAATTCTAGTCAACTCCATGTATCAGTTGACTTTTATTGTCTTCAATTGTGAACTAGTTTTTATTTTTAAACCGCGGCGATAATTTATGCAAAAAAAAACACTAATTGAGTAATACTGATCTGAGAATTTTTCCATTGAAAATGAAAGTGAATTGCAAAAAAATGGGATATTTAAAACGGTAAATAGTTGGATTCGATAAATACAAGAATTAATGTGGGATTCTGCTTTATTTATGATGTGATCAAACAACCTATATTTAACGATATTATCCACTTGCTAAGGTTTGATTTCCCCTAGAAATTTCAGACGCTCTTTTAGTGTCAGACAGATAGATAGATTGGTAGATAGATAGATAGATAGATAGATAGATAGATAGATAGATAGATAGATAGATAGATAGATAGATAGATAGATAGATAGATAGATAGATAGATAGATAGATAGATAGATAGATAGATAGATAGATAGATAGATAGATAGATAGATAGATAGATAGATAGATAGATAGATAGATAGATAGATAGATAGATAGATAGATAGATAGATAGATAGATAGATAGATAGATAGATAGATAGATAGATAGATAGATAGATAGATAGATAGATAGATAGATAGATAGATAGATAGATAGATAGATAGATAGATAGCCTACTGGGATTAATAAGCAGTATCCTACCAATAGCGGCAGTTTTTGAGATGAGCGGTACATAAGCTCGATGATTGTTCTTTGACAATGGAAAGTAAATGTACCATCTTAGTATATACCCTACCACAGGGGAAGCCCTCAAGAGAGGAGCAATTAGAAGAATGATGCCTTCGTGGATTCTCCAATCAGAAAGGCAGGAGCGTTTGTTCTATATTGGGCGGCTTACTGGTCTACGTCTGAAGCCAGAAAGAGCTGAAGTAATTCCAACGACTCGTCTTAAAGATCAAGACCAGTAAGGTCTTAATTGATGTATATTTTAAAAACGATTGAAAATTATCAACCCACGGTGATGAAACTCTACAGAAATGGTTTCTAGACTATGATCAAAACCGCCTCCTCCTCCTCTTAAAACCTGGCAAGTCTTAATGTGCGCTCGACGTTCGCGCCGTTTAGTTGGTAGTGTAGGCTCGAGTGATATTACCCGAAAACTTATACTGTAGAGATTTTATATGTATATAGGCAGCGAGAAGCAGCTTTTGTTATTGCGACCATAATACCAATTAATATACTGGCAAGGGAGACAAAATGTGCGTATGAACTGAAAGGTTTGCTGAAGTCTGAAAATGCTATAAGAAATATCCGAAGGGACAGAAGATTGTCGACATCAACAAAGGAAAAATGGACGTATTAACTGATTCCTGATTCCCTGATTCGATGTGGCCATGATCGATTCAGATCGTATTTTTATAGATTTGGACTCGACACCTCACCGCTTTCCTAGCAGTCCTAGCAGTGTCGAAAGAGATAAGAATGCTGATCACAAGCTCTTTTATTTTCTTGGACTTATTTCTGGAAGGGAAAACCTTTAACAACTATTGGTATGCAGAGTATTAAGGTAATATAGTCCAGTTTATGTTGGTTTCATTGCAGACTGGAAATATGTACGAGAGTTTAAAAAACAGGTTCTCTTAGACTTATGCAGAGAAGAGCAGATACGAATAAGAATGTAACTTATAGATAAGGCGCGTGTGATAAGAAATACTTTTGCGGCGGTTCTGCAGGGAATATGGTGCAATGTTTGGAGGTTATTTTAACGATGATTTTTTCCCCGTTAAAAATATGGATATCTTGGGGGCGATATTACTCCAGATAATTATATCTTGAAAATAGAAAACTTCTTGGGAAATACGTTCAGAAAGAACTTTAAAAAAAGTTTTCAAACCGACTTGTGTAGCACAAAGCAACCAACACCAGACACGGATTTCTAGCATAAAATCTTGTTTATAGATTTATAGACTTATTTAAAAATATATCTCTAAATTAATTAATAACTACTATTTATTATATCAAATAATTAGCATAAACAAATTAAAAAATTTACATAAAAAATGGTTTAGAATATTATTGTATTAAATGAGAGGCAACATTTAAATCAATCGAAAGTAGTAATAAATAACAGTTAGTTTTTATTAAATAAGGAAATATTTGTGGATTAAATTTCAAATAATTACAAAACTAGTTTTAGTCTGTCGAATTGCTATAAAAAAATGGTATAAAAAATAACCCACTGTGCAAGACGACAACATGACATACAGCATCAGATAAAATGTTAATTATTAACAAATTAATTTTAATTGCAACTAATTATATGATGATGTTCCACGACAATATTTCAATCACAATAGTAATGCAATAATTATTTAAAATTTTTAAAATATTTAAGAGAATTTTTATTAAAAAAACTTACCTTTTTGCTTTGGCACTTTAACTTTATAGGTGAGATCCTTAAATTCTATATCAATATTGCGTACGATACTGGTGTTTTTCAACATTTTTGAATTCTCCATTTCTAACTCCATTGTGTTTTAAATTTTGTTCTTTTCACCTTCGCTTTTTTTATAACACTTTTAAATACTTTAAGATTTTCTTTCAAAATCTCAAAAATTTTCAAAATTTATTTCAATTTATAACTGGCAAATGTATAAAAACATATTTTTATGGAATTAACAAAAAAAAAAAAACTGTTGATTAACTGTAAAGAGAATGAGAAAAAACGATAATAAAATTTAGTTAATAATTTCAATATTTAAGTGTTTTAAAGGGCATTGAATAAACAAATAATATTGTTAATTAAACAATAATTACAATAATAAAAAAAACTACTATTCACTACCAGTTAATCAAACCTTGACTTTGAAAATACTATGTTTGAAAAAAAAAGTTAATAAATAAATAAAATAATTAATTAAATTTATACTGAAGTGCAGTCAACGTTTTTCTTGGCTGTGGTTTTTATTGTTATTTATTATTATTATTAATATAATTTTGTTTTATTACCAACAATTGTTGGTTTTCTTAATACAATGTAATAAACCATTTGTCATTAAATTAACATTTTTAAGAGCCTTTTAGATGACACATCATGTGTATAATTTTTATATTTTATCAAGTTTAAACAAAAACATTAAAAATTAACCGTTAATTTAAATATTGGGCAACTTTAAAGATTAATGTCGGACATTTCTTAATAATTAAAACCAAAAACACCCGAGCGTCAAAATGAAGCAGCATATATTCTATAGTCCAGACTATAGACTATTCTATAGTCCATACTATGACTATTCTGTAGTCCAAACTATAGACAGTTCCATAGTCCTGACTATAGACAGTTCCATAGTCCAGACTATAGAGAGTTCTATTGACCAGACTATAGACAGTTCTATAGTCCATACTATAGACAATTCTATAGTCCAGACTATTGACAGTTCTATAGTCCAGACTATATACAGTTCTATAGTCCAGACTATAGAAAGTTTTATAGTCCAGACTATAGACAGTTCTATAGTCCAGACTATAGACTGTTAAAATAGTCCAGACTATAGACAGTTCTATAGTCCAGACTATAGACTGTTCTATAGTCCAGACTATAGACAGTTCTATAGTCCAGACTATGGACAGTTTTATAGTCCAGACTATAGACTGTTCTATAGTCCAGACTATAGACTGTTCTATAGTCCAGACTATAGAAAGTTCTATAGTCCAGACTATAGACAGTTCTATAGTCCAGACTATAGACAGTTCTATAGTCCAGACTATAGACAGTTCTATAGTCCAGTCTATAGACAGTTCTATAGTCCAGACTATAGACAGTTCTATAGTCCAGACCATAGACAGTTCTATAGTCCAGACTATATACAGTTCTATAGTCAAGACTATAGACAGTTCTATAGTCCAGACTATATACAGTTCTGTAGTCCAGACTATAGACTGTTAAAATAGTCCAGACTATAGACAGTTCTATAGTACAGACTATAGACTGTTCTATAGTCCAGACTATAGACAGTTCTATAGTCCAGACTATGGACAGTTCTATAGTCCAGACTATGGACAGTTTTATAGTGTAGACTATAGACTGTTCTATAGTCCAGACTATAGACTGTTCTATAGTCCAGACTATAGACTGTTCTATAGTCCAGACTATAGACTGTTCTATAGTCCAGACTATAGAATGTTCTATAGTCCAGACTATAGACTGTTCTATAGTCCAGACTATAGACAGTTCCATAGTCCATACTATAGACAGTTCTATTGTCCAGACTATAGACAGACTATAGAAAGTTCTATAGTCCAAACTATAGACAATTCTATAGTCCAGACTATTGATAGTTCTATAGTCCAGACTATATACAGTTCTATAGTCCAGACTATAGACAGTTCTATAGTCCAGAATATAAACAGTTCTATAGTCCAGACTATAGACTATTCTATAGTACAGACTATAGACAGTTCCATAGTCCAGACTATAGACAGACAATAGATAGTTCTATTGTCCAAACTATAGACAATTCTATAGTCCAGACTATTGACAGTTCTATAGTCCAGACTATATACAGTTCTATAGTCCAGACTATAGACAGTTCTATAGTCCAGACTATAAACAGTTCTATAGTCCAGACTATAGACAGTTCTATAGTCCAGACTATAAACAGTTCTATAGTCCAGACTATAGACAGTTCTATAGTCCAGACTATAGACAGTTCTATAGTCCAGACTATAGACAGTCCTATAGTCCAGACTATAGATAGTTCTATAGTTCAGACTATATACAGTTCTATAGCCCATACTATAGACAGTTCTATAGCCCAGACTATAGACAGTTCTATAGCCCAGACTATAGACAGTTCTATAGCCCAGACTATAGACAGTTCTATAGCCCAGACTATAGACAGTTCTATAGCCCAGACTATAGACAGTTCTATAGCCCAGACTATAGACAGTTCTATAGCCCAGACTATAGACAGTTCTATAGTCCAGACTATAGACAGTTCTATAGTCCAGACTATGGACAGTTCTATAGTCCAGACTATGGACAGTTTTATAGCCCAGACTATAGACTGTTCTATAGTCCAGACTATAGACTGTTCTATAGTCCAGACTATAGACTGTTCTATAGTCCAGACTATAGACTGTTCTATAGTCCAGACTATAGACTGTTCTATAGTCCAGACTATAGACTGTTCTATAGTCCAGACTATAGACTGTTCTATAGTCCAGACTATAGACTGTTCTATAGTCCAGACTATAGACTGTTCTATAGTCCAGACTATAGACTTTTCTATAGTCCAGACTATAGACTTTTCTATAGTCTAGACTGTAGACTTTTCTATAGTCCAGACTGTAGACTTTTCTATAGTCCAGACTGCTCTATAGTCCAGACTATAGACTGTTCTATAGTCCAGGCTATAGACTGTTCTATAGTCCAGACTATAGACTGTTCTATAGTCCAGACTATAGACTGTTCTATAGTCCAGACTATAGACTGTTCTGTAGACCAGACTATAGACTGTTCTATAGTCAATACTATAGACTATTCTATAGTCCAGACTATAGACTGTTCTATAGTCCAGACTAAAGACCGTTCTATAGTCCAGACTATAGACTTTCCTATAGTCCAGGCTATAGACTTTTCTATAGTCCAGACTGTAGACTTTTCTATAGTCCAGACTGTAGACTTTTCTATAGTCGAGACTACAGACTGTTCCATAGACCAGACTATAGACAGTTCCATAGACCAGACTATAGACTGTTCTGTAGACCAAACTATAGACTGTTCTATAGTCATGACTATAGACTGTTCTATAGTCTGGACTATAGACTGTTCTATAGTCCAGACTATAAACTGTTCTATAGTCCAGACTATAGACTGTTCTATAGTCCAGACTATAGACTGTTCTATAGTCCAGACTATAGACTGTTCCATAATCCAGACTATAGACTGTTCTATAGTTTAGACTATAGACTGTTCTATAGTCCAGAATAAAGACTGTTCTATAGTCCACACTATAGACTGCTCTATAGTCCACACTATAGATTGCTCTATAGTCCACACTATAGACTGCTCTATAGTCCAGGCTGTAGGTTATTCTATAGACTATTTAATAGCCCAGACTTTTGACTACTAGAAAGTCCAGGCTATAAACTATTCTACAGTCCAAACTCTTTTGTATTTTTAAATATTATTTTATTTTACTAATCTCAAATTTCTTACTATAGAAAATCAATTAAACTGTCTATCATGTTAATTATTATGTTTTTACAATATTTTACAATTAAATTGTTAAGTTTTTTCAATAATAAAACAATTAAACAACAACTCTGAACAATGAATAAATGTTATTTATATTCAGGAGATGAATATATCTAACTATTGTCGTCTATGTAATAAATTGACTTAAGTGATTTTTTTTTTTCTCAAAACTGACCAAGACCTAATTTTCCTCAAAAGTTCATCAAGCTACTTTCTCCATACATAAATATCTTGTAAAGTTATAAAGTTAATGTTTCTTATTATCTTACATTTAAGTAGTTCAAAGTTTCAACAAAAAGTTTAAAGAAAATAAAACAATTTTTAAAATTTCAGTTGAGTCATTAAAGTGTCATGTAAGTGACTAAAACATTGCTTGCATGTACTAAATAGTATGTAGTATGTAATAGTTGTTGCAACTTAATAATAGCAATTGTTTTCAAAGTTAAGGTTAAGTTTAATGATTAAATAAAATGTCATTTATTATTTTAATTAATGTGTTGTTGTGTTTATTTTTATAACTGTATTACAAAATGTTGATAAAAATATGTAATTGTTTTAACAGTTTTCCAAATGTAGTTTTTTATTAATGGATTACACAAAAGTTTTTTATGTATAATAATAAAAAAAATTGCATTGTGTTTTTCTAAATATTAACTACAAGCTGTTAAATAAATAAAAAATAAGATAACGGAAAATATTAAATTATCACAATTAGAAAACTATTATTAGAGTATAATATTGGAGATTGGAATTTTAACCCTTACTAAACTTAACGGGTTCTATATATTGCGTTTAATAATTATTTTTTCCGTTATTTTTTATAGTCTGGACTATAGAATAATTTAATTTAATAAGTCTGGACTGTATAGAATAGTCATAGTCTGGGCTATAGAGTAGTCTACAGTCTGGACTGTAGTATAGTCCATAGTCTAGACTGTAGTAAAGTCTGTAGTCTGGTCTATAGTCTGGTCTATAGTCTGGACTATAGAATAGTCTACAGTCCGGACTATAGAACACTCTTTAGTCCTGACTATAGAATAGTCTATAGTATGAACAATAGAATAGTCTATTGTCTGGGCTATAGAATAGTCTATTTTCTAGGCTATAGAATAGTCTATTGTCTGGACTATACAATAGTCTAAAGTCTGGACTATAGAGTAGTCTACAGTCTGGAATGTAGTATAGTCTATAGTCTGTAGTCTGGACTATAGAATGGTATAGTCTGGTCTATAGAGTAGTCTACAGTGTGGACTGTAGTATAGTCTATAGTCTGGACTGTAGTATAGTCTACAGTCTGGACTATAGAATAGTCTATAGTCCAGACGATAGATTATACTACAGTCCACTCTGTAGACTACTCTAGTCTGGACAACAGAATAGTCCATTTTCTGGGTTAAAAAATGGTCTGTACTCTGGACTATAGAATAGTCTACAGTCTGAACTAT